TGGAGCCCCCCCCCCCCCCCCCCCTTTTTATACACATACCCACATACCGCCGCCATGCTGTCTTTAGGCCCGAAGAAGAGCAAGGGTCTATCGTGCGCCTCCTGCTAGAGTTTTCCGGTCTCCTTGAGCGGGACTGGTGCAGGGCGAGGCGTGACGAACCCCAGGGCCAGAACGCCACGGACGGGAGCGGAAACCCCGGGGGCGGCGGGGCGGGGGCTGGGGCGGGGACCGCCGGTAGGCGCATCGAGAACATGGGGGTGCTGCTCGAGCAGCTGGCTCCGCTCTTGGACTGGGAAAGCGAGGTAGGATAACGCCGTCGTTCTCAAGCACGCGCCTATGTATTTTCGGAAGTTTTTGATGTGGTAGTAGAACTCGGTGTGCAGGACCTACCTGTCGTAGCACGCCTGAAGAGGTTCTGGTTAGTCATGAACACGCATGCATGTTTATCGGGGGGTTGATTGGCAGCGAACTCAGTGTATAGGGTCTACCTGGGGTACAAGTAGCACGCCCCAAAAGGCTAGGGTTAGTCGTGAACACACGCGTTTGTTATCGGACGTTTGATGTGGCAGTAGTACTCGGGCGTATAGGACCTGCTTGTCACAGCACGCCCGCAGAGGCTTGGGTTTTCGCGAGGGTTAGGGGTTAAGGCTGCCGTCAGCTTTGGGTACAGGATTCTTGTTGGAGAGTGTGGAGTTGGGTTGGTGTAGGTACGTCATCACCAATGTGTGCCAGGCGGTGAGTATCATCAAGCGTATGTTACATGGCCTCGCTTTTGTAGTTGCCAAGTTTTTAACCTGTGGTGCTGTGTCTGCACGCAACGCTCGTGTTGCAGCACGCGCGCCATGACTCTTTGCGGAAGTCGCTCGTTGTTGAGGGTCCCTGCTTGATGTTCTTACATGTTACTGGGGTATCACTGGAGATTAGTTGGGTAGTTCGCCTGTGAAACCATAGAAGGCATCCGTCCGTGTCAGGTGGACCGGTACGGATGTTAAAGGGAACTGAGCAGAGGCAGGCTAACGTCAAGACGATAATAAACTATTACAATGCTTGCGCTTTCGTCTGTTTTTCAATTTGTTTTTGATCTGACTTGGCCTGCAGGCTGTATACTAACGCTTTCGTCTGTTTTTCAATTTGTTTTTGATCTGACTTGGCCTGCAGGCTGTATACTAACGCTTTCGTCTGTTTTTCATTTTGTTGTTGATTTGACTTGGCCTGCAGGCTGTATACTAACGCTTTCGTCTGTTTTTCAATTTGTTTTTGATCTGACTTGGCCTGCAGGCTGTATACTAAGGCTTTCGTCTGTTTTTCATTTTGTTGTTGATCTGACTTGGCCTGCAGGCTGTATACTAACGCTTTCGTCTGTTTTTCAATTTGTTTTTGATCTGACTTGGCCTGCAGGCTGTATACTAAGGCTTTCGTCTGTTTTTCATTTTGTTGTTGATCTGACTTGGCCTGCAGGCTGTATACTAACGCTTTCGTCTGTTTTTCAATTTGTTGTTGATCTGACTTGGCCTGCAGGCTGTATACTAAGGCTTTCGTCTGTTTTTCAATTTGTTTTTGATCTGACTTGGCCTGCAGGCTGTTGCGGCGGTGGAGCCAGAGCTGCGCGAACTGCTGTGTGTCCTGCTAGACGCCGACCTGAGGTTCGACCTGTCCTCCACCAAGTATCCGCACTTCGTCGGGGGCGCCGTGGCTGCAATTTTGCAGGAGGTACGCACGTGTTGTCTTGACGAGCACTAGCAGGTGTGTTTTTTTATTATTAGCATCGACGGCGCTAACCGGCTGGCCAGTCAGTCTCGTAGCGGGATAGAATCACTACCATTAATTCCAATCAAAAGGTGAGTTACGTTTGTGTGTGTTTATTATTATTGGCCTGACCAATGAAGATGCGTCAGTGTCAGTGCGGCATGTGTACGTGTGTTTTTATTTATTATTAGCGTCGACCGCGCTAACCGGCTGACCAACGAAAATCCGTCAGTCTCAGTGCGGGAGAAAACACAAAACACTTCTAAATGCCATTAACTGGTACCCCGTGAGGGTGTGGCATGGGGGAGACCAACCTATTCTCCGGATCAAACACAAAAGACAGAAACGGTAGCAACAGAAGACACGTGTGTGCGTGTGTGGGTGTGGTGTTTTCTATGGCGATGACAATGTTGACGTCAGTGTTGCTCGCATGTCCAGTGTCGGGCTTTTGTGTCCATCCGTTATATTTGGTGCTTGAAACGGTGCGCTTTGCTCTGCGTTCCCTCGTGACACGGTTTCTCGGTCTCGCCCACTTGGCGCACCCCCTATCTCTGTACCGAAACCCTTGATCCCTGCCCCACCCTCCTCCCGTTACAGATGACCAGGTGAAATTTCTCCCCTCCCCTCCCAGCTACAATGGTCAAAACGACTACGGCATGCACGACTATGAGTGCCCCCCCGCCGCCGCCGCCGCCTACCAGCTACAAACGAGTAGCCCTATGACATACCCCCCCCCCCTGTTCCAGGTGCTCGTCGACACCAAAGCAA